AAAAAAAAAGAAATACTGAATCTTCCGAAATGTAAAATTGGTAAAACTCTTGAAGGCATCAACATAGGCAAGGCCTTTCTGAGCAGAATCCCAACTGCACAAGAAATAATATTAAGAGTCAACAAATGGAATTATACTAAATTCAAATGCTGCCACACAGCAAAAGAAACAACCAACAGAGTGAAGAGACAGCCTTCAGAAAACTCACCAGATGAGGTGAGTTTGGAGCCAGGCTCCCAGTGGTGTTCACGGCCATCCCTGACATTAAATGCAGTCCCCTGTAGGTTGTATGGATTGTGTAACCTTGAGTCCCTCCCCTGCCCCTCTGACCCTGATGATATCTGCAAAGGGAAAGGATATGGCCATTTTTTGTTGACCAACAGAGAGACTAGGGTAGGAAAAGAGTATCTTTCCATGAGGAAATCTGAAATTGCATGTTGTGCTTGGAGACGATCAGATCAGTGTTCTGAAGAACATGTAGGTGAAATGGCTGGAGATGAAGGGAAGGGCACCAACTGCACACCAGAAATAGGGAGTGTGATCTCTTGGATGCATTTGCATCCTCATGCAATTTCAATCAAGTAGCAGGCTATGGAAATAATGTCATAGGCTTTTGGATCATATATTTGCCCTAAAGAGAGTCCCAGGGTAGAAGTCTCTCCTTGTTTCCCTTCAGGTAGTTTCACTTCACTTGCTCAGCACTTCCCTTTCTCCTTTGCTTGCTGGTCCCAACCAATTCCCTACCCATAGACTTGGAGCCAACCCAAACCACCTGGGGATAGTTTGTTGCCACTGGGAAAGGATCTCTTTTGGGATCTGCTTTGCTCTTTCACAACATCTTGCTCCATGGCATGCCCAGTGTCCAATTCTATCTACTAGTTAAAAACAAAAAAAAGGAAAGAAAAAAAAAGGATCCAGGCGTGTCCTTCGTAGCTATAGAATTTAAAACTGACAGCAATCATGGTGCTGACAGCCCCACTAACAAGTGCAGGAAGCAACTGGAGAGAAAGAGATTGAGTATAAGCTGGTGTCTTGGCGAATATATCAGAACACTGACACTCCATGGGGGGAGGCCTCAATTTCCAGCGATCTTGGAAATCCCCTCTCCAGAGCGACACAGGCACTCTGGGGGATGAGGCCCTCAGATATGGGCAATAGATAGAACCATCATATTTGGGTTTTATTTTATTTTTATTGTTTTGTACCGGGGATTGAACTTGGGCCCTTGCGCCTGCAAGACAGGCAGCAGAACCACTGAGCCAAATCCCCAGGCCGATATTTGGCGCTTTTTTTTCTGTTAAATGAGCAACAGGTACAAATGGCAGTTCCAAGACAATGCATTGGTACATGAAAGACACCCAGTGAATGTGATAAAAGAATAAATGCGTGGTTAAATTAATGAAGTTGCTCAGTTTAGCAGGTGAAGGGGATGAAAAGGCAATGACCAGGCAAGTGGGGAAGGGTATGGTGGCACAAATAGGAGTATGTGTTTGTATGGAAGCCAGAAAAATGTACTTAGTAATAATTATTATTAATAATAATCACTAATCAGTAATAGTATCAGTTGTGGTTGCAATTTCTTTCCCATGCCCTCTTGCCATTCTGCAGTGTAGAAATCGTTTCATTCCTCTGATAGGTACACACAGACACACACACACACACACACACACACACACACACACACAGACCCTGTACTTCTCAAGGTTCTCCAGAGTAACAGAATGAGACATATATATATTTTTATATGATTTGTTATAAGGTACTTGCTTGTGAAATTATGGATGATTTATTATAAGTGAGTAGTGTCAATGGGAAACTTCACTCACAAAAACTTAACCATTGCAGTCCTGAGAATTTTTTTCAGAAACAGAAGCCAAATATCCCAATTTGTCCTTACACATAACAATTTTATGGCTTGACAGTGTTGAAGAGAGCTTCTTTGTGTGTGACTTTTTTGAGCTTGGAGCTGATACTGAATTATTTTTGATTGAGAAAAATCTCTCTCAATTATTATTGAACACCAGATAGCTTTGAAGTTTAACTTTTAAGTTCAATAATGCTTCTTAATGAATTCAACCTAAAGTTGCAAGATAAAGAGTGCTTATATGAAATATATTATGGTGAAGTCATTTCAATGACAGCTACTGTTGCTTGAAACAAGGTAATGTGAAGCTGCTTTTTGTACTTTCCAAGTTGTCAAAAGTTAAAACAAGTGAAATCCCCATTCTCATACAACTGTGCAATGGGTATACTGTCCAAGCTCAGACTAAATTTCTAGCATTTTACCCAGGTGCAAATGGGAAGGAAATTTCCATATTTCAAATTCACTGAATTGTACATTTGTGAAGTTTCCACCTACCATCAATTGTAAGTAATTAATTTGCAATTTAATGAGATAGAAACAGGCAAATACCAGGAGAAAAGACTAATAGAATTCTATAAATGCCTTCCACGAGATGAATATGCTCAATTCAAATAATTTGATTTATATCAGCATTTGGAAGTACTAGGCTGAAGCAGGAAGATTGCTGCAAGTTCCAGGCCATCCTGGGCCACGGAATGAGACCCTGTCTCAAAAAAAAAAAAAAAAAAAAAAAAAAAAAAAAAAAAAAAAGAAAGGAAAGGACAGGAAGGAAAAAGGAAGCACCTATCTCTTTAGCTGATATTAGTATGTGCCAATATGTACTTGTAAAAAGATATTTTCAAAGATGAAGTTCATTACTTCATTGCGGACCAACAGGGGAACATTTACTAGTTTGATGACAGAGAACACATTGAACGCCAAGTAGGTAAAATGTTATTCTCCTAAAACAATTCCATTAATCTCATTAGGAAACCTGTGTTATTTTTAATTGTATGCAATTACAATTGCAATTTTAATTTGAACAATAAAATATTTGAGGAAATTTGTTTTCTGTCCTTTTATACACGTACTTTAATACAATCTCCGTTTTGCCTCCTTGCCCTCCATTAAATGTTTATTCTCTGCCCTTTACAGACGGTTCCCCAACTCAGGGTGGCACCACTTTGCACCACTGTACTTTGGTCAACAATTGTAAAAGCAAAACGGAAGGACTGGTGTGGATGGAAAGGGTAGCACTGGTTTTTAGGGCCTCACCGCTCCCCCACCCCCAGCC